TAAAAATTGCTCTTTCTATGTGACCACACGAGTGTTAGTTTAGATAAAACAGTGATACATATTCATGCCTATAATTGATATTACCATATATAAACATCATGAAGAATTTAAATGCTATCAAACAAATGAAGTCTACCTAATTTTACTATATATTCAGAGAAAAAGGCAAACTTACTCCGAAATAGGTCAATTTCTGCTTGTTCATCAAAATAATGTGGTTACAAACACCATTGAGAAAATCTTGTGAATGTGATATTACAACTAAACATCGTGGATAATTGACTAGTTGACGTTCCAACCAAACACAAGCATTCAAATCCAAATGATTTGTTGGTTCATCCAGTAGCAGTAATGCAGGACGAACGAACAGAGCTCGAGCTAAAGCGATTCTCATTCGCCAACCACCACTAAAATGGCGAACCTATAGAAAAAAGTATATTTGTGTATAATCAGCTTCGGAATTATGAAGTAATTAAGTTTTCTAAAAGTAATAAACAATTTAATTCACTTAAAATCTTACCTCTTTCTTTTGCATTTCTGCAGTGAATCCTAAACCATGAAGAAGTTCAGCTGCTTTTGCTTCAGCTTTGTCAGCATCTAAATGATCTAGCCGTTGATAAACCTCTAGTAAACGTTCATGAGTGTCTACAATTGTGAGATTTGAAAAAAAAAGTATGTAAATAAGCGTTGATTTTCGCATATAATCAGAAAAAGTACCGACCATAAATAGTCGTTACCGTTAAAAATATAAACCAAGTCAGTCAGTCAGTCAGTTGCAACGTAGAACTTCGTACGTATGTACATAAGTTCATGTCGCCATACCACATTAGTACAGAAACGCAAACGTCAAATCAAATCCCATAGTGATAAATATAGTAGAGGTATTAATGGTAATGAAGAAGACTAGGGTTTGAAGATATTATTCAAGAAGTATGATTCAGTGAGATTAGGTTACAAAGACAAAGGTAGAGGTGCTGACGAATCCAGAGGATTAGGATTTGAGAGAGCTCAACGAATGGATGCACTTGCGCCATTGCAAACGATTCTGAGCCATGTCGTTCAAGGTCTCTAACCATTGGTGACTTTCGTCTCGCGGACACCAACCAGGCAGTCTACATCTACCAACATGACTCAGTCCACTAGTCAGTGACTTCATGGATTTCTGCCATGTTTTGGTCTGGCAGCCTCTAGCTCTCTTCCAACCTACGACTACACCACAAAACATAGCTCGTCGAGGCAGTCGGTGGTTAGGCATACGTAACACATGTCCCAACCACCTCAACTGATGATGCTTCATCATTTCATCTCTTGATCTGACATCCTTACCTAGCACCCGTTTCCTAACGACAGCATTGCTTACTCGGTTGTCCCACAGTATACGACCAATGCTTCTTAAACATCTATGATCCAATACTAGTAACCTACGAACATTACTCTTAACGGCCGTGTTTCGCATCCATATAGGAGAACGGAGCGAACTGCTGCGCAGTACACTCGTCCTTCGGTCAGCGAACGGATATCTCGCCTACGCCATAAGTGACGCAGGTTGGCAAAAGTTAATCGAGCTTTCTGTATCCGAGCTGAGATTTCGTCAGTCACCAGGCCATCAGCACTGATGAGACTCCCAAGATAAGTGAAGTGATCAACACGCTCGACTACTTCACTCCCTATCACTAGTTCAGGTACCGATGCAACCCAATCTTGAAGCAACATTTTGCATTTCGAAGGGGAAAACCGCATCCCGAACATGCTCGCATTGTTGCTTAGGGTAGTCAGAAGACTGTGCATTTTGTCAGCGTCTTCACCGAATAGAACTATGTCATCGGCATATTCTAGATCAGTAAGCGATTTTCCTGGTAGAAGGTCAACCCCTGAAAAATCTGACGAGCTTAATGTTAACTCTAAGAGGATGTCTACGACAAAGTTAAACAAGAATGGACAGCCCTGACGGACACCACTTTATGTAGAGAATTCCGGTGACAGTTCGCCATAAGCTCTCACTCGACCAGTAGTGTTCGAGTAGAGTGCTTGTATAAGGTTAATGTTCTTTGGTACACCTTTGGTTTATATTATATATAACAATATAAACCAAAAGAACCATCATGGTTATCTTACAAAGTACATCTGCTCTACGACGTTACGTATTAGTCTACCAATAGAGATAGATAAGCAAAGTAAAATCAATACCAGTAACAAGTTATACACTACTCACCATCAAAATTAGGTTTTTTCAGTCACATTGAGTTGATGATATTCATTTAGACTAGGTTATAGTAGGAAATGTTCAGTATAGGAGTCAAGTACGAATTACGGAATGTATGAATGCTTTGCATAACAAACAGCTGAATAACAGATTTATATGTTATTAGTTTTACTATTTTGTCATACAATTATCATGATAGATTTTAGCAATATAAACAATTACTCTTTCAACTTATGCAATTAATATTCATAGGCTGGCCTCAGAATGTCAACTACTAAAAAAAAATAATATTTATGACTGATACTGGTATGTTGTTAAAGTTTGTTTACAAAAAGCAGACAACAAGAAGTGGATGAATAACTTTACAAAAATATCAACATAAAATGAATCAAACGAAGATTGATTAGTCTTACCAGGATCATTATCTAATGCCAGTTGTGCAGCTTCCTTTTCCAAACGTACACGTTCTTCATCTACTTCCATCACACACGCCAATGCAGTTTTGCTTGTTGGTGGCATTTCACGTTGCAGGAGAAAAATATCAACATGAGGTGGCACAGGAAGTTCCCCATTGGCTATTACAGCTAGAAGAGTAGATTTACCACAACCGTTTGGACCAATCAATCCATATCTGAAATTTAACATAAATGGGACCTATATTTATACGCGTAATAGTTAAATAGATTCTAACCACAAAGCTTCACATGGCAAGAAGATCACTTAATTGGCTCTTAGAAATTCTATATATGGAGCATCAAATAAGGAAAACCGTTAAAAATAACTGTAAGGCCTAATAAAAGTTATTTTAACAATATACGACAGTAATTTGAAGGATTTGTCTACACTAGCAGTTAGTAAAATACTACATGTGGTACTCATTTTACAGGTTATATCGACATCATATTTCTGGCGTGATAAAAAAACTGTTTGTGCGAATTGCCAAATCATATATTTTGAAATAGTTTATTCCTGAAAAATATTTTTATGACAGAGTTTCACCTGTAATTCATGGTTGGCTATGTTGGGTGAAAACGTACAGATTTGGTAGGGGTGGCGTAGTCGAGCTCATTGTATTATTATATTATATAAAACATCGACCTAGTGTCATTCTGATACGATGAATAGCTTTAAGTACAACTGAAAATACTGATATGGGGGCGAATCTACGTGACTAGATATTGACTGGATGGCATGTATATACCATATAAAAAGGGCAGGAACTTCAGGAGAGCAAATAAAGCATTAAGTAAGTAAGTGTCACATGTTGTGTTTTGTACACCATGGCAACAAGTGCAGAAAAGTGGTTTACGTGAAAATATCACCTTAAAAATGTCAATAATATCGATGAGAGACTAAAATAATACCAATTGGTGACAATTTGGTGACAACAACAACAGATCAAAAAATAATTGAATAACATCAGACATAAAACAATACTAACTTCCCATTTTCTGACCATATGTTCTTTTTATCTATATTTCTAGATTATATTACAGTAGAATATAATTCCAATCCCTGTCTCTTATCCTTCTCATTATTCCTGTCACTGAGCTATAAGACATGGCAACTCCGAGTGATATATTCACATCAGATGCTACTTGGTAATAATATAACTTAACAATGTGACACCTAGTTCGGTGAAAACCCAGAATGATATTTATAAACTTGTTTGCTTGATTGATTTTGTATTAGAGATATGAATTGATAGAAAGCATATGCACAAAGAAAAACAGGTTGGGGGTAGCCTTTATGATATTTCTAATCAGCTGTTACACCTAAAACTACTTTTTATTGCTCCGTAGCGGTTCAGTTAACAATACATAAAAACTTAGAATGTAAGCAATTAGTTGGTGTGAGTGCAAAAAAAATTGAGACTTCCTTAGGACACCATCCAAATGATCAAATCGAATGGATTTAGAGTCTGAGTTTTTTAAAATTTATAGTTTGGTAATCGTAACATTCCCTTATTAGACAGATGGAATATTATTTACTAAAATCCCCATTAATTTATAGGACTAAATAGGTTTATAATCATTCTTGAAATCAAGCATGTTTACTAAAGACCACAACGAATACGTCGATTTATGTAAGCGGATGAAATAAAACATAAAGCAATAATAAAACAAATAACAAACCTCCGACCATTGTTTAATTCCAAACGAGTATCAGATAATAAAGCTTTCCCATGAAAAGTGATACTTAAATTTGAAAACTGGACATCTCTAGCTTCAGGATGAGAAGCTAGGACTCCAGTAACAGATCGATATGCAGCAACACGTTCACTAACAAGATCTAAGCATTCCAGGGTTTCAACTAAGGATTGATGTACTTCTTTGTTTTCATCATCACTACCTAAATAAAAATTTCAAAAATAAATCCAAGTACACTAAAACTCGTTCGTCAGCAGTTACAGTAGTGGTAGCAAAACATCAGAAAAATTATCGGTGAAATAAAACTTTTCCTGTCTACAATCTCAATAACTGAAGCCTAGATTAAATCAAAGATGAGTTCTATCAAAAATCTGACTTCCAAAACCCTAGTCCAGATGTAGTAAGTGAAGCAACCGTAAACAAAATTGTGTAGTGCGAATATGCATTGGTATGATGCCATAAAACTAACAAGATTAATAAGTCAAAATAACTGTAGTACTAATGATAAGAAGACTAAACACTGAATTTTATTTATTAGATGTAGGAACGATTTGTTGTATATATCAAAAGTCACCAAAAGCCGGTCCTTGATGTCTTCAGTAACATTGTACCGTGTGTCTTATACAATGAACGGTGACATAAGCAAAAGAGCATTCATGAAAAGAAGTCAGTATTATTCGATACAAGTTTAGAATATTAAATTTGTAATCATCCGGGACTAACAGTTCAACACATTAAAAAGAATGGGAACTCTAATTGTTACCCTTACTTCATTGAGATCGAGATTAACATTTAATGATACTAGTAAGAAACGAAGAAAAAATGGATCCTATTTTGTTGGATAGTAAATAAGTTTTGAGAAAAAACCAACGATCAACACATTTGGGCTTAAACATTAGTCAGTGAACTTACCTACAAAGTCATCATCACGAATCTGATTGTGGTTCAGTGAACCAGATACTAACCCATTTTGAAACGTAGGACCGGTTTCCTTATCAGTCTTTGCATTATTCTCACTGTCTAACACCGTTGATCGCGTTTGCTTTTGATTCCGCTTTTTGACTGCTTCTTTTTTCGCTTGAGCCTTTCTTTTTTTATCCTCAGATGGCATCTTTTATGTGAACGACCTTAGTTTTAAAAATTGATAACTGTCTTTTCACAGGAACGCAATCTAGCCCACAAAAAAGCAACTACCTAAAAAATGATAAGTAGATTAAAAGGCGGTCGAGGTTTATTCAAGTGAACTGATCTGAGCAGTTATATCTAGAATTACAATCAATCAATCAATAGCAACGTAGAACTACATAAGTACGTACATCAGTTCATGTTGCCATACCACATTAGCACAGAGATGTAATTGTCAATTCAAATCCAACTGTAGTAGAGGTAGTAAAGGTATTAGAAGTAATCGGAGAGGTTAGGATTAGAAGATATTATTCAAGAAGTAGAATCTAGTGAAACAGACTTAAGATAAAGTGACGAAGAATTAAAAAAGTTTAGGATTTGAGAGAACACAAAGAATGAATGCACCTGCGCCATTGCAAACGGTTTTCAACCATGTTATTCAGAGTCTATAACCATCGATTACTATCATCTCGCGGACCCCAACCTGGTAGTCTACATCTACCAACATGGCTCAGTCCACTCGTCAATGACTTCATGGATTTCTGCCATGTTTTGGTTTGGCCGCCCCTAGCTTTCGTCCAACCTATTCCTACACCGCAAAATATAGCTTGTCGAGGCAGTCGGTGGTTAGGCATACGTAACACGTGTCCTAACCACCTCGACAGACAGACAGACAGACGTATACAACGCAGAACTTCGTACGTAAGTACATCAGTTCAGGTTGACATACCGAGCTATAGTGGCTGGAACATAAGTTTCTGAAGGTCCTACCATGCCAGGCAGGTCTATTGGAGAACAATGAGACTAAAAGCACCTACCCAAGGTCTGAGGGCGTAGTCGTACTGCTGACTACTGCAGAGGGGTGTGAAAGCAGTAAGGTGTTTCCCTCGAACAACCAGCATCTGCAGCGATGCTGCCTTCTCACAAGGAAGGAAGGGTTAGAAAAGGTCGACCCTAAAAATGTTACACCTCACCCTACCTCACGGATTTCCGTCTATGGCGGTAAGGGCTGCCAAGTAAGGCCTTCAAAAAACGGAGCTAACACTCAAAATACCTTTGATAAAATGGCTGTACGTGACCGGCCTCAAGCAGTTGTCCCTTGGGCTATGGAGTCACGCTCTCAGGTCTCTAAGATCAACACTAATCTACCTTCCTTTTCAGGTTCCTCAAGAAACAAGGTTCCACGGTGTGGGCAGCCGGGAAGTGACAACCGCCCTCCTACCCGTGACAGCACACGAGACCAAATCGGTCATAATCAAACCAAGCCGGTAAGCATTCTATCCATCAACAACTATAGGACAATTTACACCACGAATGATCTTACCAAACAAATTAAGTAGTTCATGCGGCCAGAGTGAGTCTGCAGACTCAATCATAATGGTATCAATTCCTAATAAAAGCGCATAAAAGTAGTCAGCGCTGTAATATCAAAACAATCTATGAGGAGGTATATATAGGGGCTGAAGGGAATCGTTATATCTATGAAATACGGATCAGCTGCATATTAATATCCTATTAACACACATGTTCAACTTATTTGATCCTTTTGTTTCGAGGGAAATCAGTCTATCGTTTATGAGTTATAATTTCCTTCAGCAACTGAAAAATACCATACTTCCAAATTAATCAAAACACAAAAGGCGCAAAACTACCGCATGTGTGTTACCTAACGCACTAGTTCTATAACCGCGCCAAAACTAACTATAGATGTAGACCAAATCCTGGGATAATTATTGAAGGACAATAAACAGAATTTCTAGACAAAAATTTATAGCTTTTATTGTTACACTTAGTTTTTAGAAGGTGAATAAGTTTGCTTATGATGCATAGATTCTAAGAAAAATATAACGATGTCCCAGCTGTCATATCCCTTAACTTGTGTGTTAACATCAGCAAAATCATACTTGGTGAAAGTTATCATCTATCGTTTTTGCTACCCTAAAGTTCTCGATAAAATTTCATTTAAAAGCACTCTTTAATAGTTATTGACACAAGACAAAAATTGTGGTCTATCCTCAGTTATGTATTTAGTAATACATGAGGATGTCACAACTCCAGTTAGAGTCCTTTCAAGGTTACAGACGGTCCTCACCACGGATAAAGGTGAAGGATGGAACACGGGGCTAGTTGCGATCAGTTATTTCAAGCCTCCTTCCAAACAAAGCAAGATGAGAACACAATGAAAGTCATCGAGTGCTATGCTCCTACCAGCAATAAAAATGAGGATGGTGAAGATCTATTTCATGAGAAGCTGCAGTCGATGGTCGAAAAATGCCAAACAGTGGACTTGACTAATCTGATGGGAGACCGAAACGCCAAGGATGGAATTGACAACACTGGACATGAAGACATCTTTGAACATCAGAGGTTCTTAGTCACAATAAGTACCATAGTTCATAGTCTAAACAAGATTCAAGAAAGGAAGAACAAGAAAACATTAATCAATGTCAGCCGAACAAATACACTGAAAGTCAAGGCACATGATGAATACACAGAATCAAACAAGGGAGTGAAGTAGAGCATCAGAGCTGACAAATGTAAATATGTGGGAGACCTAGCCATGATGGCGGAAAAAGCTGCAAGAGAAAGGAACATTAGACAACCGCACAACACAGTGATGAAGCTTGTCGGAAAACATGGTAAACCAGGATGACTATTCAAGAAAAAGGAAGGCAATTCAATCATTGTAGGATTTAATTTGTCCCTACAAATATTCCGTCAGAACCTTAAACTCGATACTGGCTAGCACAGAGTCTATGTGTAAGCTATAGTCAAGATAAGGACAACTTGGCTTTAAACATTATCTGTTTCTAAACGTAAAAGCAATTAGATTAAGGAATTTACAGTTATTAATTGAAACGAGCAAACATACTGACCAATATTGCGTGTCTTATTAAAATGAACTTATCGGTCACAATAATATAATAGCATAATAATGTTTTTCAATCAGTAGGTCACATGCAACAGAGACATTTTACAGACACACCAGACCATATCAGCATGGTGAGCGCTTAAACTACAATTCGATTTGTTAGTTATGGAAATAACTAACAGTTCCCCCCCAAGTGGGCTTCATGTCTAGGCCTCATTACCGTCGCGCTCAAATAATCGGCCTCTTCCAGTAGGCACGATTTGTGTATATCCAGAGTGATCTCTTCGGTTGCTGTCTCCAATCGAACTGTTCTGACTCGTCCATCTGGACCATAATTGACCTGTTTAACTATAGCTTTCGGCAACAGATTTCCAGGTGATTCAATATTGTTTACTGACACAAAGTCTCACGGTTGCAGATTCCTTCTCATTTCCAAGCGCTTGAATCTCGCCTGAAGGGTTGGTAGGTATTCCCGTACCCATCTGCTCCAGAACAGGTTGGCTAGTTGTTGCGCTTCCTTCCATTCCCTTTTATATAAGTACCTTTCACTCATCTGCGCTTCGTCAAACGATACACTTCTATAAACTAACAATAACTTATTTGGCGTTAGTACATCCAGATTATTACAGTCATTAATTAGCTTTACGAGTGGTCGATTGTCCAATATCACTTCAGCTACAATTGAAAACGTCTCGAAAGACTCATCCGTCAGTAGCTACTAAAACAGTAGTGATCGTATAATTCTTCTTATTGACTTTAAGATGCGTTCCTACATACCGCCTCGAAGACTAGCTCTCGGAGGATTAAAGTGCCATTCACAACCTCTTTTCGAAGGGGTATTTGCTATCTTCTACAGACAATCTGTCTAAGGCTGGATTCGGCTCCACCAAAGTTTGAACCATTGTCGCTGGCTGACCCTATCTAGCAACGAGCGCATTAAAATGAGTCAGTATCTATGGTTTCAGCCATTTCAATGTGAACTGCTCTGTAATAATGCAATTGTGTAGCGAATAATCTAATGAATAACAAAACCCTATCGAAAGAACAAGAACAGAGCTCGAAGAATTCAATGTGTTTATACTAGCTAGTGAAAAAGATATTGATATAATCAAAACCACAAGCGCACTTGTTGTATCATGACTGAACTTCAGTAACGAATATTTTGTGTTCTGATTCTCGCCTAACTTTTCTTCTCCAGCATTGCCGTGATGCACCACCGAAAACACATATTACTTCATCCTACTATTTAAACAGTACTCAGATATTTTCGGAAACACGGCTGCTTCAGCCGGAAACATATGAAACATATTATCTGCATAATGCCACGAAGAAAATGAATATGCATTTCATTATCAGTTCTTGTTTTATAAACATTTGGAACTGACCGGCATTAATTTTTGGACATGGGTTGCTCGTCACAATATATAACTAGCTCCAACCATTCAACAGTGCGTTTGAGTCTCTTAAAAATTACTTGTAATCTTATGTGGCCAGATGAAGTAATAGCTGGTTGTTGTTAACCATTTGTTTTTATATCTATGAACTAGATGAAAAAACAGTGAAAGGTCAGACCCGAGTGAATGTTGAAGGTCTAGTGTAGATTCTGAAATGTCAGTACGGACTGATCAGCGTGTTTACATTGCCGTATATTGTTTATTTTGATGAGGAATTTGAATATTTTCAGGTTATGTAGGCGTCAGGAGAGATTATGGTCTTGATAAGTCAAAAAAAGTTAGTATGAGTAGGTTAAGAGCCAAATGAACAGTGATCTTTTCAACCCAACTTGGTAGACCATAAATATTTCTGGTTTAGAGTGAGTACTGCATTTTTTATATGATACAATTTGTTCATTTTCAACCAGAGAAAAGTGAACTGCTTGAAACTCAGTGCACTAATGATATGAAGTTGGATTCTATTATAATGAGTGAAGTGAATGAAAAAAGATCATGAATTTATTATTCACTGCAGGCATATATCATTAAATTCAAATGAAAATTGGCACAAGATAAAAACCACCCCTTAATTAAAGTCACCTCTTTTTCGTTTTGCATTTTGCTAAAAGGCAGTCATTCCAGAATTATCATGAGACAACAGACTGGTGGATAATGCAAGACATTTCAGTATGAAAGTAACGTAGCTGTCCTCATCTGTCACTCCTTATTTTAGAATAAATTATTGTTATTATTACTCCAACAACACATGTAATCCGCTGAGATATCTTGGGGAAACTTCTATGTCGCATGGAAAATTTCTGGGACAGATGACAACAAAACCGCGAAAAATATTTTAGTACCCCCCGGCATCCGCGCTTCATTGTTGGTTTTCGGTATATTTGTTTTGCCCAACCTTAAATCCTGAGTTGTTTGTAATTTTGGCCTTGAACTTCTAGCAACTATTATGTTCATAGTTTACACTCTGCATGTTGACTTAAGAAGTTAAAATGCTTGGGATTTTTGTGATAAGGACTGCAACTAATATACAAGACGAATTTTTAATAGATTTTCCCATTTACTAGTTCGGAGATATGAAATTAAATAGTTTCCGTGTTTTCGTCAACCAACAGTTACAAATTTGGGTATAATAGTCGTCAGTGGAATCGTTAACTGATAAACTTCGACTTGTACCTGTTGTAACCGTAGCAATCAACGTTGCTAGTGAAAGTATTGAAAGAATTTCTTCTATGTCCTTATTAAAGTCATTGATGGAATTACTGATTCTTTAACAAAATGACCGTGCAATCTCCAGGTTTTTACTGTGAAATCTGACAACATCAGCGTACAGTAACATGCAAAATTACACCAAGTTAATATAAATTCTTCAAGTAGTTTAGTATTATCCATATTTTTGTTTGTTGTCGCTTCTCAAAAGGCTGAATTTGAGGATG